TTTTATGTGTAACATGTCCTACTGAGCTGTGTTCCCTGAAACAAGGAGGGCTGCCCCTAGGTGAATGAAAATTTGTATTTGTTTTGCTATGATAAATGGTGTCTTTGTTCTTTCATGTCTTTGTTGCCTTTGCTCACATCAGAGAAGTGAGATCTGTCTACTTCATAAGCACAAGCAAAACCATCTAACAGTTATTCTCATTTAGCAATTAATTAGCATTAACTGGAACTTGGCATGTTGGAAAACTCAGATTGAATTATTTTAGAGCATTATATATATTATGTAGGGTACATAGCACATTTGGAGCAGTAATTTATTAAATGTTATAATATTTTCCCAAGAGGATGGATTAGCTATTCACCATTAGGACAAGGTCCAATATTTATGAAATGTTCACAAATGATTAATTACATTTCATTTACAAATAGACTAGCAGGAGACATTTATTGCAAGTGCTATTTTAATGAATTGTCTGTGAATTCATGTCCAAGGTTGCAATAATTTATTTTTTGCTACCTTCACCTAACCTTACAGTTCAACCTGCTACTGCTTGTCAATGCCTCACATATTGCATCTTGGAATCATGTGCTCATTGTTCCAGGTGCTTGAGCTAGAAAACTTGGGACATCCGTGACTCTTCTCTCACACCCCATTTCCAAACATTAGCAATATCCCAAAAGCTCCTTGTTGCCTTTAGAATAAAACTATCTCTAATCTGATATCCAGAGATAGTCACAGCTTGGGCCACCATAATGTTGTTACCCATTCTCTACCAAGTTGACTAGTGAGATGCTATTCTCCACCTCTGTGGCTTCATCCTTGCACATTTTTTCTTTGTCTGGTATGCCCCTCTTTCCCTTTGATGAATGAATGCCTGCTTGCTCAAAAACCAGCTCACGTATCATCTTCTCTTGTGAGTTCCCCAGACTTTTTACTTCCTCCCCCTTAGGCAGAATCAGTAACTCTGATTTATTTTCTTAATACAGGTGCTTGCATACTTCTGGGTTGTCCTTGTTTACTTATGCATCAAAGTCATGAGAAAGTAAGTTTCTTAAAGCCTCATTGTATTTATTTTTGTATCTTCTAACACATATTAAGCATGTAGTGAAGACTGGCTGGATAAATTGAAAGTCCTCTTAAAAGAGGAAATAAGGCAAAGTTATTCCTCAGTGGATACTCCATGTGAAGACCCTTTTGTGGTTGGTGATGGAGATAAAGTGGACGTACATGAAGAAGAACTAACAGGAAGATCATTTCCAAGCCTCAACAGAGAACAGCCATAGAGACAGAGTAGTTTAAAGCAGGAAGGTAAATTGGACATTACCTTTAATTATACTCTTATGTACAAATAACTTACTTTTATTACATTATACTCTCTTCTCAATCTGTAGCTTGGCATTTTTTGTGCCAGTTGCCTAGAAAAGTAGCTATTATAGTCCCTAGAACATAGTAAACAAACAATAAATGAACGAGTGAACAAATGGAAATATTCTAGTATTTTTTTTTTTAGGTAAGGAAACAGACTCAAAGATGCAAAGCATAGGAAAGCAGAAGCCACATCTTTTCTAAGGTGCTACCGTATTTTCTATGTTGAGCTAGATGCTTTCATTTCATTATGTAATTTATACTCTCAAGAAAATTATGCAACTATTATGTTAGATAAACAACTCAAGGCTCACATCTGTGTTCTATGATCACACAAATACTTTGTCATTTTGTTGTTCTTGTCTGGTGCTTGTCACCTGCTGGCATGGTATTCTTGGGCAGTGGTATATTGATAATTGGTTTTGGTGACTAACAAAACTCTGCTTTGAATATTCTGTATTATTAACACGGTAGCATGTGAGTAGATATAGGGAGCTGTGATCTAGTATCAAGATCACTAGACTTGAAGGCTGAAAACTAATGTTCAGTTCCTAATCCTGTTATCTTACTTTAAGCAAATCCTTTAACATCTTAGAAATTTAGTTCTCTCATGTGTAAAGCAAGGCATGTAATTCCAGCTTTGTGGAGTTCTATGATGAACAGAAGAAAGATGACCACAAAAACAGTTTTCCACCTAAAAATAAAGTTTCATTATTCTGAGGCTTATGTAAGAATGAGAATATGTGTATAAAAAGGCTTTCTCAACTCATGCTCATTCCCTTTTATTTCATTTGTTACTGTTTTGCAATTTCACTGTACGCTGGCTTGTATTCATATAAACAGATTAAAATAAAATAAATAAGCTTTTCCCAATTGATGTGATTTGTATTCAATATAGCATATTTAAATGAAATTCTGCTTTTAATTTTTTGAATTCATAATTCAACATGATTTAGTAATAGAGAATTAACAGCTAAAAGACAGTTGTTTCTTTTCATGAGCTTCCATTATCATAACGAAATCAAAAAAGTGAAAGAACAGGGAACATATGAAAATTAACAGCACTGCACAGCCATGACAACTTCATGATTTGATTGCCTGCCTGTTTTGTTAATAATTGAAAATATGACATTTCAAATTTCCATACTCTCTACAGCTCTATGCATCTATTTAAAAATGAATCTGCTAAAATAATTATTACTCAGTTTTGTTTCTTTTCTTTTCTTTTCTTTTTTTTTTTTTTACAGGCAGAGTGGACAGTGAGAGAGAGACAGAGACAGACAGAAAGGTCTTCCTTTGCCGTTGGTTCACCCTCCAATGGCCACCGCGGCCAGTGTGCTGCGTCTGGCGCACCGTGCTGATCCGAAGGCAGGAGCCAGGTGCTTCTCCTGGTCTCCCGTGGGGTGCAGGGCCCAAGGACTTGGGCCATCCTCCACTGCACTCCCTGGCCACAGCAGAGAGCTGGCCTGGAAGAGGGGCAACTGGGACAGAATCCGGCTCCCCGACCGGGACTAGAACCCGGTGTGCCGGCGCCTCAAGGAGGAGGATTAGCCTAGTGAGCCGCAGCGCCGGCCCATTACTCAGTTTTATAAACATTGCATTTTACCTCAAAAAAGGCACAGAAAGTATTATTTTTCTTGTGTTGACTTCTTCTCTGCTTTTTTTTTTTTTTTTTTTTTTTTTTAGAAAAAGATTTCTTTTATTGGAAAGGCAGAGTGGCAGAGAGAGAGGTTACAGACACAGAGAGAAAGAGATCTTCCATCTGCTAGCTCATTTCCTAAGTGGCTGCAATGGCCAGAGTTGGGCAAGAAGGAAGCCTGGAACTCCATTCAGGCTTCCACATGGGTGGCAAGTTTCCAAAAATTTCAGACATCCAAAATTGCTTTCCCATGAGCTTTGGCAGTTAGCGCATTAGAAAGAGAGCAGCTAGAACTCCAATCAGTGCTCCAATGTGGGATACTAGTGTTGCAAGTGGTGGCTTAATGCACTCCGGACGTTCATCTCTGCTCTTATTGCCAATACTAATTTATGACAAATTATCAAAATTTATTTTTTTGTTGCTTTACATTTTTATATAAATTTTTATTAAAACAAAAGAATTTCCAAGTAATAAGATAGTAAGATATATTTTTCAATATAACTTTGAAAATCTCTGATGGTCACACAGAAAAAAGCTCTAGGGCCTTAGGCATGAATAGGATCTTAACAGCGATCTGATTCCAATCCTTATGCATATTTTAAGGTTTGAAAAATGAGGCTGTAAGTGGCTGAAAGGAGATATGCCAGTTTTCAGAGGCTAAAACAAAGAAATAGCTTGAGGCCTTCTTATAAGCACTCTTCTTATTCTACTCTATCAGAACATACTTCATTTTAACTTACGAAGGCTCTTCAAAAAGTTCATGAAAAATTCATGTTATAAAAATTATGCATGTATTTCAAAAATTTTTGCTCCAAAATAAAGTTATCTTTTGATTACCTTTTGAAGTTCCTTCGTACATAATGTAATTGTCTTTTGTCCGAATTATATCAGGACAAAAGTTATTCTTGCTCAACACTTATGTTAGCTTTTTTGATGTGGATGCTGATTGAAGGATGATATGTATCTAGGTGAGGATCAAATAAATTGGATGATAGGAGATCTCAATAACCTGGAACAACTGGCTAAATCTATCACAAGGGAGCTTAACAGAGAGATGTAAAGTCAGCACTTACAGTACAAAAACCAATAGCAAAAGTGCATGAAGGAGGGCAGTTTAAAAGCAGAATGTGACTTTTTTTTTAATCAAAAGTGGTTGTGTTTAAAGAACTAACATTCATTCTTTGTTTATTCTTGTCCTCTTTTCCAAATCAACTGAATTTTACTTCACCTAATAGAAATATGTTCAGGACAACAAAGGCACTAACTCTAGTCTACTCTACCCACCTGCAATTCTGAATATAGGTAAGACACTGACAAACTAATGCAGTCAGAGTGAAAAGACCAAAAGGTTAAATTGACTCAGAGCAAAGTAATTTAAGTAAGGCCAAGATAATTGGATGTGCCTCTCTCAAAACAGAATAATTATTTTTGTTTGTTTTGGAGAAATAACCATGAAAAAAACATACTCATTGTGACAGAAGAAGCTGATTGAGTGGGAAAAATGTGGACTGTGGCATCAGAAGATATGAGTTTGAGTACTGGTACCATCATTTACCTGTGGTGTGACCCTGATAATAAAATCCCTTAAGAAACTAAATCTCAGTTCTTAACCTGCAAGATGAGAACAGGAACAACTACATTGTAGTACTGTTATGAAAATTAAATTAAACCATATATGTAAAACACCTATAGTACATAGCATGCAGCTGATAGTCAAAAAACTTTTCCATCCACTTTTCAGGTAAAGTCATTAGAGATTTTCATTAGATTTGAGAGCTGTCATTAGAAAGGTTATATAAGCAGACATGACATGAGAAGGCATCTAAGATCCCTGCCAATGCTGCATGATATGTTTACATGTTGACTCATAGCATGTACTTTATATTCCAGTAAAGATTATTATTATTAAAAATTGTTGATGCCTTCCAAGTCATGGTGCCTTATAAAGTTGCAAGAAAATTTAGCTACCACATATAGTAAAACAATGCTTGTTTACCTGTAAAGCGCAGAAAGGGGCCTCTTGTTTCCAGGTTTTGGTCTGTATGGTTTGGGCTCACCTGCCATGTTGATATCTGAAAACACAAAACAAAATAGTAGTGATTAAGAAAATATTAAAGCATTTCAGACGATTTTATTTTTCTTCCATTTGCTTATGGAAACTTGTATGCCATTCATTCACATTCACTTAACACATACCTGTTAAGAACCCACTCCATGCCAGGCACAGTTTGTTGCCACACATAAAATAGATTACATCCCTGCCCTTATTGAACTTTCATTCTAATGGGAGGAGACGGAAACAAACAATAAAAATAAAAATAAGGACATATTAGAAAGTGGTAAGAATAATGAGAAGAGAAAATCTCAAGAAAGAGAAGGAGAATTCAGAATGCTTAATAAAGAGTGAAGTAGCCTTCATATTTTCACTTTTTGAGAAGAATTTCTTAATATGTATAAACTTTGTATGGAATATTGCTTTGTTCATAAGAGGAATTATTAAATTTCCCATAACATTTTTCACCAATATGGACAAGTAAGCTAGAAGGGTATGATCACAAAACATACCATGTTTTTTTTTTCTCAAGATTTATTTATTTGAAAGGCAAAATTACAGAGAGACAGAGAGGGAGAGACAGATAGAGAGAAATCTTCCATCTACTGGTTCACTCCCCAAAAGGCTGCAAAGGCTGGAGGAGGGCCAGTCCAAAGCCAGGAACTGGGAGCTTTATCTGGGTTTCCCATATGGGTGCATCAGCCTAAGCGTTTGGGTCATCCCCTGCTAATTTCCCAGGTGCATTATCAGGGAGATGGACTGAAAGTGGAGCTGCTGGTTCTTCAAAGACCCAATAAATAAATTTATGACCTAATATCACCAAATTACTAGAGAACATTGGGGAAACTCATCTTAAAACAGGAAAATACTTCTGGGAAAAGAACCCAGAAGCACAGGCAATCAAAGCCAAAATTGCCAAATGGGATTACATCAAGCTGAGAGCTTTTGCACTGCAAAAGAAACACTCAGCAAAACGAAGAAGCAACAGACAGAATGGGAGAAAATATTTGCAAACTTTGCAACTGATAAAGGGTTAACATCCAGAATCTATAAAGAGCTCAAGAAACTCGACAACAACAAAACAGATAATCCAGTTAAGAAGTGGGTAAAGGACTTGATAGCTATTTTTCAAGAGGAAATTCATATGGCCAGCAGACACTTGAAAAAAATTTTCAGGATCACTAGCCATCAGGGAAATGCCAATCAAACGACATTGAGGTTTCACCACACTCCAGTTAGAATAGCTCACATATAGAAATCAACAAATGACAAATGTTGGCAAGAAGGTGGGGGAAAAGGTAACCTAGTGGACTGTTGGTGGGAATGTAAACTGGTGTAGCCATTGTGGAAGACAGTATGGAGATACCTGAGAAATCTGAATATGGACCTACCATATGACCCAGCCATCTCCACCTCACTTCTGGGAATTTACTCAAACCAAAAGAAATCAGCATCTGAAAGAGTTATCTGTACCCCTATTTTCACTGCAGCACAATTCACAACACCTAAGGTATGGAATCAACCTAAGGATGTCCATCACCATTGACTGGATAAAGAAATTATGACATGCATACACTATGGAATACTACTCAGATGTAAAAAAAATGAAATCTTGTCTCTTGCAAAAAGATGGATGTAACCAGAAACCATCATACTCAGTGAAATAAGCCTGCCCTCAAACGACAGATATCATGTTTTACCTGATCTGGGGTAACTAATACAGTATCAGAAATGTAATATTTAGGAGTTAAATGGACATTTTGAGATTTTATGATTATTTACAATCTTTGTCTCATCTATAGAGGAACAGTGTTTTTTTTCTTTCTTTATTCATACTATTTGTTGAACTATTTTACTTAGCATAGGGTTAACTTTTTTATAATTATTAAGTAAATTGAAAATAGATCTTTGTAAAAATTAAGAGTGTGAATGGGAGATGGAGGAGGAAGAAGTGTTGGGACTTGGGTGGGAAGGAGAGTAGGGAGAAAGTATCACTATGTTCCTAAATCTGAATTTATAAAATACCTGAAAGTTCTATAACTTAAATAAAATTAAAAAAAAGAAAGTGGAGCAGCTGGGACTGGAACCAGCACTCATATGGGATGTCCGTGTTGTAGGTGGTGGCTTTACCTGCTATGCCACTGTGCTGGCCACACTTTCCATATTTGAAAAGAGAAAATATGCACTCAGTAATCAGAATGTTAAGTTATAGAATTCAGGGATTATAGGATTCAGTTATAAAGTTTAGAGGGAGAAGAATCATATCTTTTGCCTTCAAGAACTGAAAATATGACCAAGGCTACAGATAGACAAGAAGATGCTTAAGTACATGACAAAACAATACGTGCATATACTCTGCAAACACCCATCCTAAGGAAACTCTTTTTAAGATTGACTTAAAAAAAAAAGGGAGAGAGAGAGGGAGAAGGAGAGGGAGAGGAGGTGGGAGGAGGGGAGGGGGAAGGGGAGGAAAGAGGGAGGAGAGGGGGAAGGGAGAGGGAGAGGGGAGGGGAGGGGGACAGGGAAGGGGCAGGGAAGGGGGAGGGGGAGAGAAGGGAGAGGGAGAGGGAGAGGTTCACTCCCCAAATGGCTGCAATGGCTGGAGCTGGGCCAATCTGAAGCCAGGATTCAGGAGCTTCTTTTGGGTTTCCCACGTGGGTCAGGGGCCCAAAGACTTGGACCATCTTCTACAGCTTTCCCAGGCCATAGCAGAGAATTGGATAAGAAGTGGAGCAGCCAGGACTGGAACTGGCGTCCATAGGGGATGCCGGCACTGCAAGTAGCAGCTTTACCTGATTTGCCCCTTAAACCGGCCCCTTAAACTTTTCTAACAGCTTATGATTATAAAGCAAGTCAAAAATATGTTTTGAGAAAATTGAAAAAGAAAGAAAGAAAGTAGAATGGAAGAGGGAGGAGGAAAGTACCACTATATTCTTAGAACTGTATCTATGAATTACATGAAATCTGTTCTCTTTATATTAAATAACTAACTAAATGAATGAATGAATAAAAATTAAAAAATAAATTAAAAGAGATTGGGAAGTTGGCTGGAGAAGATTTGAGAAGTGAAATACACAACTAGAGAGAATAAGGTTGAATTTTCCAAAGAATGTTACAAAAACATAAAGAACATAAACTTTATGAAAAGCTTTAAAGAAGTGAGGGACAGTCTTTGATAGAAAAGAGAGGGAATACTTCTATTTCTTGCACAGTAAACTAAATACACTGAGCCATTCATGAATGAAAACACTAAAAGTTATTGCTTGGTAATTAGAAGTCCAGGAGTGATCAACATATAGAAAGTGTTGTCCCCTCCCACAAGAGGATACTGTAATTAGTATTATATAAGTAAAAAATTTAGAATGTGTAATTGTATATTTAGATGGCTCAGTGTTTAATAGGATTACTAGCAATTTGAATGACAGTTCTTGCGATCAAAGTAAATAGTAAGCTTATAAATAATCAGCTAACATGTTTTCAAGAGAAAGAAATGATAAATATTTAAGAAATAAAAATTTTATATATGATATAAGTGTATCTCTAAAAATTCTCGTAAAGCTAGCAAGGAAATAAAAGCTTGAAAAACATTCTACACCTTAGTGAAAAGAAGTCAAATGGGAGTGCAACATTGATCCTAGCTTGTTCTTTCATCTTTCTTATCAAAGAAGAACTCAAGCTTTAGGTCCACATCCTTGTGGGTTAGAAGGGACAGGAGATCATGCTCAGATTAAAGGATATGAAATATATGGCCATCTAATTCAACAACCTGATATGGTAACATCCTTAATAACCAGGAGGAGAAGAAAATTCCCTTACTTGATATCTATAAAATATCAATAAGAAAAACTGTACCAAGTAGTAAGACATTGGATGCATGTGCTTTAAAATCCAGGATTTTAGGAGCTGGCACTGTGGCATAGAAGGTAAAGCCTCTGCCTGTGATGCTGCAATCTTATATGGGTACTGGTTTTAGTCCCGGGTGATTCATTTCTTATCCAGCTCCCTGCAATTGTACCTGGGAAAGCAGCAGAGGATCGCCCAAGTCCTTGAGAAACCTGGACGGAGCTCTTGGCATCTGGCTTCAGCCAGGCCCAGCCCTGGCCTTTGCAGCCATTTTAGGAATGAACCAGCAAATGGAACATCCATTTCTCTCTCTCTCTCTCTCTCTCTCTCTGATCCTTCTCTTTCTCTAACTCCAGTTTTTTTTGTTGTTTTCTTTTCTTTCCCTTTTTTTTTTTTTTTTTTGTCTTCTAGAGAGGTAGAGACTGCGAGAGAGGTTTTCCGTCCACTGGTTCACTCCCCAGATAAATGCAACGGCCAGAGCTGTGCTGATCTGAAGCCAGGAGCCAGGAGCTTCCTCCGGGTCTCCCACAGTGGGGCAGGGGCCCAAGGACTTGGGCCATCTTCTACTGCTTTCCCAGGCCATAGCAGAAATCTGGATCGGAAGAGGAGCAGCCAGGACTAGAACCTGCGCCCATATGGGATGTCAGCGCTTCAGGCCAGGGCATTAACCCACTGTGCCACAGCACCGGCCCCCTCTAACTCCAACTTTTAAGTAAACAAATAAAATCTTTTAAAAAAATCAGGGATTTTATAAGGACATCCATTGTAACCACACTTAGTACCTCAGTCACCAAAGTAAGTCAGGAAATAATATTAAAAAACAAAGAAGAAATGAGGCATGATTAATTGTTGGTAATACATGGATTCACATAAAAATCTCCAAAGCATTCACAGACAATTACAAGTTTAGTAAATTTATTGGATGCAAAGTTAATAAATAAAATTCAATTGTATATGTCTACACAGCATTACATGTTTAAAATATAATTTAAACTGTGTCATTAAATAGTATAAAATGTAAAGAAAGCACTAGTAAATCAATCATAAATTTTAGAAGACCTCAATGAAGAAAATTATAAAACTGCATTAAAAGATTTTACAGTAATTCTACATAAATACTGAGAAATTGGAAGATCCAAGGTAATAAACATATTAATTTTCCCTCAGTTGATCTAT